GAAGAAGGGTTATGTATGTCTGCCTTGCAATGGAGGGTGAGAGATGACATTTATAGGAATTAATAACCGATATTATTCTTTCACTCTTGTTAGCAACCGTTGGATGATTTAATAGTAAACTTCACGTGTTTTCTACTTCATAAGAGATCTTCGACAGATTGCCCGTAATTTTCGCAAGGCTGAGTGTGCATGTGACAGGCGCTGACACGTTTGGAAAAACAAGTGCCTCTTCGATATCTGGAATCGACGCTTCGACAAACTGCCCGTGATTTCTGCAAAGCTGACTATGCATGTGACAGATGCTGACACGTCTGGAAAAGCTCTTCGACAAACTGCCCGTGATTTCCGCAAAGCTGACTCTGCATGTGACAGATGCTAACACGTCTGGAAAAGCAGATGCCTCTCCGATATCTGGAATCAACGCTTCGACAAACTACCCATGATTTTCGCAAAGTTGACTCTACATGTGACAGATGCTGACACGTCTGGAAAAGCAGATGCCTCTCTGATTTCTAAGCTTGCCTCTTCGATCTCTGGAATCCCATCGAGTGCAGAGGTTGCATGTGACAAGTGCGGACAAATCTGGAAAAGAAGATTGGTCGTGGTTTCTGAGCAAGCCCAACTTTTGAGAAAGCTAGCGCCTCTTTGATTTTTGAGTTGGCCTTTTCGATTTCTGAGCTCGCCTCTTCGATCTCTGAAATCCCATCGAGTGCTGATTTTTATAGAGGTATGCAAGACGTTCAAAGCACATTTGAATTTCTGCCTGTAAAAACTCCCTTCTTGCACTTCTACGATCTTGACTTTTCTGACCTCTTCTTTCTTTAACATCTCTGAAAATGTCTGGCCCCTCCGACCATCGTTTTGACTTGAACCTTGGTGAAGAGGCAGTCCCGCCTTCTCTAGACAACATATGGCGCCCATCCTTCATATCCCCTACTGGTCCCCTTACCGTTGAGGATTCAGTGATGAAGAATGATATGACAGCTGCGGTGGTGGCCAGGAACCTTGTCACTCCCAAAGATAACAGACTATTTGCTAAACGGTCTGATGAGTTGGTTGTTAAGGATTCTCTAGCTCTCAGTGTGCAGTGCGCAGGTTCCGTGTCTAATATGGCCCAACGCATATTTGCCCGAACCCGTCAAGTTGAATCATTGACGGCTGAAGTGATGAGTCTTAAGCAGAAGATTAGAGGGCTTAAGCATGAGAATAAATAGTTGCACAGGCTCGTACATAATTATGCTACAAACATGAAGAGGAAGATTAACCAGATGCAGGAATCTGATGGTCAGATTTTACTTGATCATCAAAGGTTTGTGGGTTTGTTCCAACAGCATTTGCCTTTGTCTTCTGGGGCTGTACCGCATAATGAAGCTCCAAAAGATCAACCTCCGATGCCTTCTCCTTCTGGGGCTCAGCCGACTGCTGAGGCTCTGCCGACTACTGAGACTTCTCCTAAGCAACCTTTGTGAAGGCTCCCTCTTGTATTTATTTGCTTAATGTTCCTTTCTTTTTTTATGAATGTAAAAATACCTTGCATAACTGTCAGTGTTTCAAAAATAAACCCACACCAAAAATAATTAAACAAGCAACAGATAAAAATGACAATCATGGCAAAATAACATAAAAAGGGAAGGTTTTTAGAAACGCTAAACTGATTGTGGAGCAATTCAAAAAACTTTCTTATTTGAATACACGGGTTGCCTCCCAAGAAGCGCTTGCTTTAAAGTCTTCCAGCCGGACAAAACTTCCTTCTAAACTTGGATAGGGCCCATAGCATGGAATTGATCCTTGAATGGACGGTGATACTTGACGTGATCCGGCAATGGTTTAAATTCTAGCGTAGGTGCCTGAATCATCAAAATTAGCAAGTTAGTATATAATAAAATCGAAGTTGGAGAAAATGGCTTACTTGCTTGCTCTAACACAAACTCAATTACGAACACCACATCTTTGAAGGTTGCAGGGATATGGGACTTGGCCAGATTTGGTGTTCTGAGAGTTATGACTTTTCCCGTGTCATAAAATCCAACTTCTTTGGGAGTTTTCATCTCAAGGGTATCTTCTTTGATGAATTGTAGACATTCCCCATCCACTTCTTGCTCTTGATTCTTTGGAAATGTTCCAAAGATGCCTTTCTCACCTTCTTCTTTGATGGAATTTAGGCTTACCTTGGTTGTAGTGGACGGCATAGAGGGCATATGGGGTTGCGGCAAGGGTGGTTCTTCCCTTGTCGTGGCCTTGTTATTCTCCTCTTCTTCGAGCAGCAGCTGTTCATCTATGTTTTGGCTTGGTTTGGATGTCTTGGGTTCACCTCCAACCTCCATAGCACTTCCCAAAGTGATAGCATCATGGATTTCAAAATCTTCCTTCAAATTTTCAATAGTTGAGTTGGAGAGTTCACTTTACTCTTGAATTTGTGCCATGAACTCCATAATCTGCCCAATTTGCTTCTCCACTTCTCCCGTCTTCTTGGCTTGATTTTGCATCTTTTTGTTTCCATTTTCTACTTCCTGGTTCAAAAAGGTGAGTAACTTATTAAACATATCATTATCCAAAGACGTACCTGAATTGAATTGGGCAGATTGTTGTGGTGGTTGCATAGGTCTTGAATAGAACTCATCTTCTTACTGTCAATACCCATCTTGTTGGAATTGTTGAGGTTCTCCTCACATGTAATCTGAATAATCTCTCCAATCCGAATCGTAAGCGTTGGAAAACATGTTGTCCCCTGATTAGCTATGGCCTTGATAACCCCAAGCATCTTCATTTGCAGCGAATTTAGAACATTGATGAGTTGGATATCCTTGCCCATAGGACACACCATCTGTAGGGACACTTTGCATTGTGGTCCTTTCGGCATATTGTGACACTTGAGAAGTAAGTTTTGCCAATTGAGCTTGAATGGTAGCAAAATCCATGTCTTTCCTCTCTAGTACTTGAAATCAAGGAAAAAAAACTAAATCAAATATCATAAGTAAAAATAAAAGACACAAATAGAAACGAAGTCAGTAACTAAAACAAAAAACATGAAAAAGAAACAACGGGGGATTAGCAAAGTTGCTAATCCCTGGCAACGGCGCCAAAATTTGATGCGATGAAAGTTAAGCACTCAAATTAAACCCTCTTGTTGTCAAATTGTGGTATAAATGCAAGTAGTGATCGTTCTAAACCGAGGATTAGGAGGGCTTGCTAAAACCTCTAAACTTACTCAAAAACATAAAAACAAAGTTAAAAACGTTTGAATAGACTCAAGGGACTCAAAACAGATTCTAAAGACTCAAAACAACTTAAAAACACTCAAAACTGCCTAAAAACACAAACTGGGCAGATTTGACTCTAACACAACTTTGGACGAATTTAGTGTTTTGACTTAAATCAAAATACTCTAAAACACAAACAAAACAGATTTTAAACACTTTGGAACAAGAAAGTAAAATGAGGGTTTTGATTTGGATGAATTTGAAATAAAAAAGCAAGTTATAAAACTAGGCAGACTATAAAATGATTTTGAGAAATAAAATGATGGATGGATTAGTTAGAGGTCCGTTCTTCACATATGACACACTTGTACATGAATCGATTTCCAATTGTTTTTCAATAAACTATGATACTCAACACTCCAGATTAACCGTGATGCACAAATTAACCCTCAGATTTTCCTTTACTTATTGAATTGGATGAATGCATGCGACAACCCAAAAAGTCCCATATATGAATGCATAATAGAGATACAATCAGAGATCATTACGTTCAATGAAAATCATAAGTATTGACGAAGCAATTATAACTATGAATGCATGATATAATTGCCAAGAATTCAATTAACGTGATTGTGATAGACAACCTTCACTACTCATGAATATAAACTTGTAACGATTAGGTGAAACTCATTTATATTCTAGCATCTAATTCATGCATGAAAACTAAGTATGCATCCTTAATAAACATACAAGAATCAGTTATGAATAAAATAGATAATTGAATTGCAATCACAACTTATCAAATCACAATTGGAAGAAATCAATTCAAATCTCAAGCATGTTCATGGCTTCAAACTTCCCCCTAACTAAATAGGGGTTTAGCCACTCATAATTACAACAAAATTAGAAAATAACAAAGTAGACATTGAAAGTAAGAACGGAGTACACCTAAAATGCTCCAAAGTTCCAAGCTTGAAACGTCAAGGACCTTTGTTTTCACCACCTTGTTGTAGCACAAGTGTCTAGGATGTGTATGGATATATGGATGGAATGGATTTGCACGGCTAAGAGATGAAAGTGTATGGATTTGTGAGATGTAGTATGGCTAGATGAATGGATGGAGGTCACGGCAAGGAAATTGTTTTTGTGAATGAAGTTGTGAGATGTGAAATGTAGTGTCTTTGGATGATGGCCCCCAAATTATGGTGAATGGTGGATGTATTTATAGGTTAGGGAGAAGAGTATAGAGTTGTAATGAGTGGATGTAATGGATGTAGTGGGTGAGTGTTGTGGTAATGAGTGGATGCAATGGGTGTAGTGGGTGGATGTTTGGTAATGAGTGGATGTAATGGGTGTAGTGGATAGATGTGTTGGGTGAAATGAGTGTGCTAAAATGGTTATTTATAAGGAGATGATGATGCACAAACTTCAAATTTCGTCAATTCCTTTTGCTCCAAGCATATGCTATCCATTTCATGCCCAAAAATGCTCCAAATGCACTTTTTTGCCACATTAATCCCTTTGGACCTACAAACACACGAAAATAGCTTAAAATACTAAAATAACTACGAACTAACAACATAAATCCCAAGAAACAAGCTAACTAAGTCGCATAAATATGCTCCTATCAACGGGTCGGGTCGCTAACGGGTGAACCCGTTAAATAACGGGTCACTTTGGGTCAACCCTTTAGGACCCGTTAACACCCGTTAGTTGAGGTTATTTTAATAATTTTAGTAAAGTTTTAATAACAAAAAATAAACTTTATGCAAAAAAATAGTAATAATAATTGTTAACGTGTGTTAACGAGTGAAACGGGTCGAGTTCGGATGACCCGTTAACTTAACGGGTCGGATTGAACCCGATTCAAACTCAATAAACTCAGGTCTAGCCCAAACAAAAAGCCCGGATAAGAAACCCAAACAATAACCGGAAAATTAACGGTCCCGCCCAAATATTTGTTTACACTCCCACGATTTAACCGCACACATTCCGCTCTCACTCCATTTCTCCGGGAAGCCGCTCTATTGAAAATTCGAACCTCTTCTTCCCAGAGAATCCCCAAACCAAAATTGCAAACCCTAATCGCCGCCGTCAATGGCCTCTTCCTCATCGGGAACCCCCCGGTCACAGAAGGGAAACTTCCGAAACTGGACCGAACTCCCTGACGAAATCACGTCGTCCATACTCTCGCGGCTGGGAGCGATCGAGATCCTGGAGTCCGCTCAGAAGGTGTGCATGAAATGGCGCACAGTGTTCAAGGACCCGCTGATGTGGCGCACTATCGACATGCGCAATGATGGGGATTTCGACGATGAACTTCCTTACGACGTGGAGAAGATGTGCCGCCACGCCGTTGATAGGAGCCGCGGCGGTTTGGTCGATATCAATATCGAGTACTTCGGCACGGATGACCTCCTCCGATATATCGCTCTTAGGTAAACTGATTTAACTGAAAATATTACTTTTTAGAGTAACATGTATGAATCGTATCTTCATTTGCCCTGCCCCTTTTTAAATTGTTGTAATTTTGTCGGTATTATTTTAGAAATTCATGTAGACGTTTTGATAGAAATGGTCCATGAGTTTGATCACCGTCAATCATTTTGGTTCTTACGTAATGTATCTCTCTTAATAAGATCAGAATGACAAAAATATCCTCAATTTAATTAACTCAGGACCATTTCTATCGGTTTCAAACCTCAAAGATCAGAATAAGGAGTTATGTCAATCTCCGGTACCTTTTTGGCTAAAAAGCCAATGCATTTCTATATTTATGTAGCGGCTAACATTTTCATCGATAACCTTTAAATAGATCAAGTGGAATCAGACGACTTCGGATAGCACATTGCGATGAAATAACCGATGAGGGATTGAGTAAAATGGCTAAGAGACTTTCCCTGTTACACGATCTTGACATCTCATTATGTCAACTCTCGTGTAAATCTGTCCAAGTAGTTGGGCGCTCCTGCCCTCGTTTGACATCATTCAAATGGAACAAAGAGTGGTTCAGAATCTGGGATGATGACTCTGATGATGATTATGACAGCGATGGGGAACCTCGGCCACCTGCTCCTTACAACAAACCGGATGATTCAGATGCACTTGCTATAGCACGAACGATGCCTGGTTTAATCCACCTCCAACTTTTTGGGAATAAAATGACAGATAATGGCTTGAGGAAGATTCTTGATTGCTGTCCTCATCTCAAGTCACTTGATCTGCGCCATTGTTTCAATCTCAGTTTGGGGGGAGATTTGGAGTTAAGATGCGTTGAACGAATTAAAAAGTTGTGGCTTCCCAATGATTCCACCAAGGGCTATGAATTTGCTGCTAGATATGATGGTTTCTGTCATAGGTGGACCGAACTCCCAGACATTACATTTTCAATACTGTCACGTTTGGGAACTGTCGACATCCTAGAGAATGCTCAGAAGGTGTGCATGAAGTGGCGCAGAATCTGTAAGGACCCTCGGATGTGGCACACTGTTGACATGCGCAATAATGGTGATCCTAACCTGCCATATAGCCTTGATAGGATGTGCCGCCATGCCGTAAATCTTAGTGCTGGCAATTTGGTCGATATCAATATTGAGTCATTTGGCGAATTTGAGCTCCTTCAGTATATCACAAATAGGTAATTTATTTATTTGTTTGTCTTATTTTTTAATTTTGATTTGGGATTCTGTTTGGAAGATGTTATCGTCTGCAACTGTGGTTTCTTAGGTTATATGACATTTTTTAGAGCAATATGAATCATATATTCTTTTCGTTTTGATAAGAAACCGAATTTTTTTCATACAATTAGATGTTCTATGATTTATTCCACTTCCCCTTTCCTGAGTTCAGAGGTATAAATCTGTGCTGAAATGGTATGATCCACCAGACGTCTTCTGAACTTATAAAAATTGATAACTTTTATCAACTTCCAAATTATGCATCTTCGTTCAATGAATAATTATAGTGATGTTCAGCTTCTTTTGGTGTATTTTTTTCCTTAATGTAACGGCTAACACAATTGTTTGGACCCAAATTTACATCATCGGCCCGTGTAATCGAGACCGTAGAGTAAACATAGTTCTCAGCCGTCGGATGGAAAAGTGAAAATATTTTTGTTAAAAGATAATATTATGGTTTTTATCATGATTATCTTTTAATTTAAATTATCTTGACATATTCTTAAACGGGATGGATATGATGCAAATTATATCCTCAAGTAAGAGTGTTTGGGCTCAAATTAACATGTTGGGCCGAGTATAGAACCACTCTCGGCCCGGGAGGCCTGGCGACAGGGGAGCCTTGGATCATTTAGTACGTGGGCTCCTAAACCTAGGTCGGCTAGGTCATATTACATTTACTAGTCGAGTCCTAACGCGATAAGTAGTCTCGGCAAGGGTAATAACCCGGAAGTGAATCCGGCTCAATAGAGGACTAGGCTCACAATCCTAGTAAACATAGGACTGGTCGAGTGGGTGTTTGATCCGGAGAAGAAGACCTAGTTCGAGTAGGGTTTTGACTCGACTTCAAAGGTATCTAGTGCTATAAATAGAGGAGGCTGTGCATCATTCAAGAGGACCTCCAACACACACAAAACTGCCCTGCGCAAACTTTCTCAACACCTTGAGATTTTTTATTTTCTTTTTTCGCCGACACATCTTCCGTTGGCATCAACAGCACTGTGAAGGCAACCGGTGATATCTTAAGTCGGCATAGATAGCTCTGTCACCGTAGAATCAGCCGATCTCGCAGCATCTTCCGTTGGCATCAACAGCACTACGGCGAGGACGACTGGTTACCTATCCAAGTCTCGTCGAGAGAAGGATTTCCGAATCCTCATTGGTCGAGGTCATCTCATCAGCCTTCTCGGCGAAGTGGGGTGTTACCAGGTTACTGTATTCGGCACATTGACAGCCGAATTTGAGATTGAACTTCGCAAATTAGCAGCCTTGTCTTCAGGCTCTAGAACCCAAGAGGCCGAGAATTGTTCCTTCCTCGGCCGCAATCGCAAGACACAGAAGTCAGCAGCGCGCTCAACGCAACATCATCAAATTTACTCCTCGGCCGAGCTCGGCCGACGAGTTGGCACGCCCCGCAATCACCGAAGGACGTAGTTAGCTTAGAATATACTCGGCCTGCGCGCCACGTAGGCTTGGTAGATTTTAGGGTCAACAACAATTCATCTAAATTCTTTCAACAGTTCGAGTAAAATCAGAAGGCTCCGAATGGTGTGTTGCTATGGCATTTGCGATGAGGGATTGTCTGAAGTTGTTTCAAAATTTCCGATGTTGGAGGACATTGACTTTACATTGTGCAAAAATATTACGCATAGATCTCTGAAACTGATTGGGCGCTGTTGCCCTCTTTTGAAATCATTGAAAGTGAACAATGAGTGGCACAAGTACCCAGACGACTGGTTCAATGATGATAGTGATGATGAATTCTCTTTGAATAGAGATGAGGATGCAATTGCTGTAGCTCAAACGATGCCTGGTTTGCGCCACCTCCAGCTGTTTGGGAATCAGATAACTAATGAGGGCTTGAAGAAGATTCTAGATGGTTGTCCTCATCTCGAGTCACTTGATCTGCGGCATTGTTTCAATCTTGATCTCGGGGGAGATTTGGGACGAATATGCGCTGAACGAATTAAAAAGCCGCTGCTTCCTAATGATTCCATTGCTGGCTATGAATTTAGCCCTTCAATTGATTGGCGTAATCAACAATTGAGTCGTCATGAAATCCCTGTACCACACTGGTGGGATCTGCATGGAAATTATGATAGTAGTGATTGATCGGTTTGTATGGTGATCATGAGGAATCTGAATTGGGAGTGGTTGTGAAGCTTCATCCATCGTAGTGGTCCGATACTTCATGACGGTTCTGTTTCTCGGTTTGTAGTAACATTATTCTCCTTAGATTCTCAAGAGCTGAAACAATTTAGCAGTCTCTTATGGTTTGCAGTCTGCAGTTTGCTGGCTGCATTTTATTTATCAGACAAATGTTAAGATTTTAGCTTTTCGACGTCCTCTTTACTTGTGTACTATCGCCATGAAAGGCGTAATGTCTACTTACCTAAGCTTAATGTTTGTTGTTTATCTCTTTTTGCAACTGCAGTCGCGTGAGGCGAGAAATAAGCACAAGGGAATATGTAATCGGTTGCACGTATGAAAGCATGTCCCGGAAAGGTCTAAAAATATTATATTAAAGAATATAAACGATAAATCATGATTGACTTTCGACAACAAACTTGTCAATAATTGAAACTTGTGTGAGGAGTAACAAATATCTAGTCTTTATCAAATAGTTAAGGAATATTTATTCAATGGTTGTCTATCATAAGTGATAGTCGTCCATATAGCACTCGGGGGCGATTGTCCGTGAAAGCACTCGGGAGAGACAGTCGTCCATAGAGCACTTTGAAGAGACGATCGTCCGTATAGAGCTTTAAGAGGCGTTCGTCCATAGATAACTCCAGAGAGTTGATCATCCATAGAGCACTTCGGAGAGGTAGTCTTCTAGAGAGCTAACCAAAAGAAGCAACCACTAGAGCACATCCCATTTGAGAGCTGACCACTTGGAAAAGGTGGCTTATCACGTGCTAAAGGGTCTCTTCCATCTAATGGTGATCTAGTCCATGGTAAATGAATCTTCTCTCAAAATGGTGACATGGCAAGAGTGGGATCGGGTCAGACGGGGATCTTCGTTCACAACTTCATGTTCCAAAGCAACAACCAATCATACGGCTTGGTCCAAAGCATGTAATTGTGGCTTCTATGCAGCTCCCTGGAAGCAAGTCTCACATTTCCCACGTTATCAATTTAATGGAGGATTATACTATTACATAATAAAGGGAATAAATTGATACTATTCTAAAACTTCTTGGTACAAATTGATAAAATTAGAACTTCATTGTCCATTTTGAAAATCAACTAAACTCAATAATGCTATTTTTATCATATTTTTGTACCATAATTGTATAACACCTCACGTGGCATTTGATATGGACAACCACATCATCTAAATTAATTAGCATTTAATTTCAAAATGTTAATCACTAAGTAATAAAAAGATTGTTAATTAAATGATGATTACGGTATACGAGAAGTCTCCTTCTTCCACCTAAGATTATGTAAGTGTTGTAATTAATAAAAGGATTGAAATTAAATGATGTATCTTGTCCAACTCATCTGCCATCTAAGATGGTAAAGAAATGTAGTATAAAATTGTGGTAAGAATAGCATTACTCACTAAAACTAGGATGTAGATGCGTGTAGTTTTAAGTGAGGAAGAGAAATCCGCACCAGAAGAAGAGGAAGGGAAAGAGAAAGGAAAAGAAAATTTTCTGACGCATTTGAATCAAACGATCAGGATAACTTGGTCAGCAAAATCCGAAAGACACAAATCCGGAGAGAATCTGTACCCACGTAAAAGAACTCAAACAATCCATTTGAACCAGTTCAACTAAATCTAATCCAAAAAGTTAAGTCCGAACCACTTTTGATTACGTATAAATTAAACTTTGATAGCACAGAGCACAGCATGTAGGCCGTAGCACAGCGAGAACAGGCCTACGAATTTTTACAAACCATTAAATAATAGTGTGCTCAGGAAATCAATAGTGTTTAGTTTACTATTAGAATTTTCTCTTCTCCCTTCTTCTCTCATATTTTTTATTTTGATTTAACCGTAACTCTTTAAATAAACGAAGAAATAAAGAAAAGAGAAAAAAGAAGGGAGATTATTTTATTCTTAGTTTACTAACATATGAACACAGTTGAAGAACCCTAACCCTACGCTGAGACTGAGGAGCTAGGGTTCGTCAGGAGCAATTAGTCGCTCTCTGCATGGCACAAGTTCCGGTGCAAGCTCACCTCACGTGACCCTCTCGTCTTCCCTCCATTCTCGAAACGGCCAACAACAACCAGCCAGTCGAGCGTGCGACGCCGTCGCAGGGGCAGCAGAAGGCCGAGCCACCAGTTGCGAGGATTGCCTTTTTCTGCTGTAAGATCGAGTGGGACTCCCTCGCTCGGGGCTCGGGAGTCTCTGATCTTACGCTACTCTTACGCAAACCTCACCACTGATCCCTACCGACTTGACCCGGATTCGTACGGCAAAGATCGGACTTGACACTCCATGTTCCTTTCAGCCCAGCACCAGGCTACGCGTCAGTATCCTGTCGTTGACGTTGGGGATACGCCATGATCTACATACAAACAATTAAATAAGAATTTACATTGGCATGTGAGACTGTAAAATTTTTATCTTTTAATTTTCTTATTAATCATTATATTTTAAAGAAAAAAACAAGAAATAGGACTGTAAAAATGAGGTTTCATAGCCTTGTTTTTTTTTTTCTTACACTAGTATTGCTTTAAATAATCTAAATTGCCTGAGTATTTCAAATCAGATTGAATATGAGAACGCATTGACTTTAACCAATGTCACTAGTAACACATTTCTTGCCAGGAGACTAATAGTAAGCTTCTTATACATATACATTGTTTAAAATATTAGTATTGGTAGAAATATCGATGCGTATATCAATATTGATTTTGACATCGATTGCTTTCAATATCGATGGAGATGATGAAAATTTAAAACAAAATTTTAGAGAATGTTAAACGCTGGTTTAGACGAAATATAAGAATTTATCCGATATTTAACTGATACATCAGAAATATTGACAAAATCCGTCGTTGCCCGAAATTTAAGAGTTCCTTCTATATATAGTGAAGTTTAGACTTCACCCTCCCTCCATATCTTTATATAATTTTTTGGATATTTCCACAGAAATATCGATAGTATTAAAGAAATTTCAAACGTAGTGCTAAACCTAAACTGTGAACAAAAAAGCATCTCCACATTGTATGACAACATATGTTCTTATGTGACCATTCTTTTTATACCTTTTGCTACAATAATTTGAGAAAAGAATTTGATGATCATATGATTCACAAATTGAGAAAATAATGCAATGAAATAAACCCGTCACACTCAATTCAAGAGGTTGTAGTCATGAATGTTTTTCCCAAAATATGCACAATAATTTAGTTTGCATGTTAGGTGAAGATGTTCAAGGCTTCAAAGTTGGCCCATACAATTAATACACGCTGATGTAGCTGGCAATTTTGTTTTCCTAAACATCATCTCTCAATTGTCATTTTCTCTCTATTTTATCTTTCTTTCTTTCCTTTCAAGCGGTCGACAATACATGGCTTGTCAAAAGATGAATAGGGTATTAAAAATTGTCATTGTCGATTTATAGAACTTTGTATTTATGATCAAAACTTTATATTTATAATCAAAACTGTTCTTATTCATCCTTTAATAGAGTTCTTACTCATCCTTAATGAGAATTTTGCTCTTAATATAAAATTAGTAGACAAAGAACAAGTCGTTTACATTAGTTTTGATAGCAGGTAGTATTATTCATACACTTATTTTTTACTTCTCACCTACTTCTTTTTATTTTTGGTCATTGAATGGTTAAAAATTAACAAATACGTATAAAAAATAAAAATAAGTGTGTAATTAATATTATCCTTGATAATATTTGATAAAAAGTTTGAAACAAAATCAAAGGTTTATTCCTAGATGATTACCCAATTCGCCCCATTGAAAAAAATTGTTCCATCCAAAGAAAGTGTTTACCCAAATCTCTTTTTCCCATGAATGTAAATTTTATCTGATTCACTTTCTACGCACTATTTAAGTGGCTTACTTTGCCAATTCACATTACTTTTTCTGGAAAGACAACTATAACAATAACCATCTCAATCAATCTCTCTAGCTAGCTATCATGAATATAATCGTGAAACTGCACACCTAGGTAGCGATCACCATTGACACCACTCATTTTGAATATCTTGTTTAATCATGTTCCTTTCTATTTCGAGCAAAATTCTTTTTTAGTTTTCTGCTACTTCACATTTTAATGTTAATTTTCGTATCAATATTATAAAATATATATTAAAAATATAAGATACAGAAAGTTCACGGATAATCCAACTTTCAAGAGTTTTCTTGTCATTTCTCTTTATGAGATTATGACAATCAAACCATGTTAATTTTTTTTTTCAGATACGAATCAGCCAGTGTGGCAGCCCACACACGAGTGTGTCTATCACCCGTTAATGGAATGGATTTCAGAACACTTCATCAAAATAATGTTCATCCGCGTGCATATACAACTTGTCAGTAGCACAGCTCTTATTTATTTGTGCTTGTGACATGTTTCAGTTTTTAGCATTAAGTTGAAAAATTGCAATTAAGAGTACATCAATGCATAACATACATCAACAAAGTGAAATTTGCTAAACAATGTAAGAAGATTAACTTAGAGATACAGAATCACTTAAACCTTAAACAAACCTATATTGTACGAAGCATAGTAAGTTGGCGGAACATGCTCCTGCCCTAAAATTTGGACAAGGATTGTCTGCACTCCCACTTCCGGTGCCCTCCCATGCCCTCCTGTTTTGTATGGTTACGGTTAAGTCACGTCAACATTTTATATTGTTTTTTTTATAGGGATAATAAGACAAAAAAGAATAGTAATATAAAATATTGACGTGACTTAACCGTGACTACACAAACAGGAAGGCATGAGAGGGCAGACAATCCTTGTCCCTAAAATTTTGCATGAGAGGAGCCGCCACGTGGCCAGTATGAAATGGGAACACATGGAGGCATTTCATTGGTTTGGCAAAGCATCTTGGGTATATACTATATACCCTAGGCTTTGTATTGTTTTGGGTTTTCTTCCAATTATTGTTTGTTTTGGTTTTGAACAGAGAAGGGAAAGAAGGGACAGAGCCTTTAATATAGTTGGTGGGGCTGCCTGGTTGGCAGGTGACCATGGACAATCCCATGTGTTTTCATGGGCTAAGGGACTAATAAGTTGATGGGCTTTCCCGACCCGACAATGCCCACAAAAACTCCTATTCAAGTTTCATATTTTGTATACCACATGATGTGACAATTGATGTTTGATTTCTTTTTTTTTAAATCATCAATAGCCACATTATGTGATTTACAAAATATGATCTTAAAAAAATGATCTTTCTAGCATCACCATTTTTGTAAAGTTTTGTTGCTTTATTTTTCCTCGTGGTGACACAGATGGAATTGAAATATATGAACACATGAGGTTCTATGTTCAAATTTCCATGTCTTCTAGTATTACTTGTAAGCGAGAGTATATCTTCATTGTTGTAGAACTTTAACTCTAATCGTAACATATAGAAAAATATTTATTGGCCAATCTATCTCTAGTTGCAACGTAGAATTTTAGATGAATGCGGGCGTTGTATGGTTGATTTAAACGTATAGCATTAAATCGCAATTATTAAAATAAGAAATGATATGTTACTTGAAACGAGAGTAGGTCCAAGATGCTAGCGCTCTCCTTGTAGTAATCGAGATTTATCTCCATACAGTAATCCCATACTATCTCATTTGTTCAATGTATCAACTAAGAACTTTCCGTAACGTATAAAAAAACGCTTACGTCCAATATATTTCCAGTTGCAACTTGGAGTTTCCGGTGAATGAGCGCGTTGTGGTTGGTTTTAAACGTATAGTATTAGATGAAAATAATTAAAATGTGATATGTTATTTAAGTTGCAACGAAAGTAGGTCCGGGATGCTCTCTTTGTAGTAGGTTTAGGAAGCTTGATGATGAGTTATTCGGTAGGGTTTGAAGTTTTTCTTCTTTCCTATAAACAAATGAACCGGCCTCGGACCTGTCGAACCAGTGACTCAAGTTGTCGATGAAAAAAAAAAAAAAGTTTTTAAATTAACAGCCCAAAAGGAAAAAGTGGGAAATTGGAACTTCCTACGAATGGGAAATTGTGGAATTCAAAAGTAACGAATTTTCTTCAACGTATGACTTTCTCACGTTACGCAGACCAAGTTCCAAGCATCCCTAATTGCATGTAAATGGTCAAATGTTCTTTCGGATAAAGTAGCTTGTTTTACACTTCGTAATTTATCTTTGGTCAGGCTGCATTATGACGTACGCAACCCTAACCGACTATGAAATATCGACAAGCATATTGCATTATAATGTCCGTGACATAACCGACTATCAACCCTTTGTGCGTTACTTTATTTGTTTTGTCCATCCGACTGTCAAAATATAATATATGAAGAATAATTAAACAAAATACGTGATAAGACGGTCTGATCTAATATGTCTCATTTTAACGATAAAATAGTCAAATAGAGAAAACACGTGTACATACCAACATGGCAATACAGATTTTTTTCTCTTTCTCATGTTCTCAGATGGTTACCTAAATATAAGAAATCTAAATATTAAAAAAGAAAAAAAAAAAGACCGCTCGAATATACACAACTGTCACCCGCCTGTCACAAAATCTGGCAGGGTTGTCTCAACGCGTGGCGCACATCCCGCCGTTGCTTCTCAGAAGTAATCGAACACCGTCGATTGTCTCGTATTTCGACTATCCTCGCTCTCGGCCTGGTAACACGGCGTCGTGTTTTGCCTTCTCATCGAACCCGGGATCATCGGCGGCGTGAGCGACCGTACCAACGCCAAGTTGATGCCCTTGAAGAAGGGATGCTTCTTGACGTCAGCGGCTCCGCGCTTCGACCCGAGTCGCCGGTCCGGGTCCTTGTTGAGAAACCCGGAAATGAGGTCCCGCGCGTGGCCCTCCAGCGCGCTGGAGGGCGTGGAGGTTGGGAATGTTAGAGGTTTTTTCACAATGTTACGCAGGGTGGTCTCGTTCGATGGAGCCGCGAAAGGCGTCCGGCCGTAGACCAACTCGTAGAGGAAGATGCCGAATGCCCACCAGTCGACGGCGTTGCCGTGGGACCGACCGGATGCGACTTCGGGGGTCACGTACTCGTGGGTACCAACGAAGGACTGCGACCGGGCGGCCACCGGTTCGGCCACGAAGAGCCGGTTCTGGGAGAGGGTCTGGACCTTGCGCGACCGGAACAGCCGGTTGGAGAGGCAGGAGAAGGGGGTGAGAGTTGCCCTCTTCTGCGGGCGGGTGTACGATGGGGTCGATAAGGACGCGGAGTCGGAATACGAGTCGGGTGATTCAACGGCAGGGATTGCGTCCGAGCATAGTGAGAGGTCAAAGTCGGAGAGCATGATGTGACCGTCCGATCTGACCAGCACGTTCTCGGGTTTTAGGTCCCTGTAGATGATTCCCAGCATGTGGAGGTATTCCAACGCCACTAGGACCTCCGCAGCGTAGAACCTGCATATACGGACAAAAAACCGAATTTAGACCGAGTCGAATCGTCCGAGTTAAACAAAATTAGGACCAGAATATATGATTGAAGACGACGTTGCACTGAGATAAAGCAGACAAGATAAGAACATCTCATGTTCTAATCTGAGTAATGTATTCACAAGAAAACAAAATTACAAAAGAAAATGCCGGTCATTTTTTATTTTTTTTTAAATTAATGGAGGAATATTCAAAAATGTACCTTGCGGAGTTGAGGGAGAAGCGTTTGTGAGGCTGAATGTGGCGGAGGGAGTGGAGATCGCCGCCGGAGCAGTACTCCATGACGATGCAGGAGAAATGCGAGGCTTCGAACTCGGCGTAGAGAGTAGGCAAGAACGGGTGGTCAAGCATTTTGAGGATCTTTCTCTCCATCTCGGCTCTCTGCACCTTTTTCTTCATCGCCAGAGCCTCCTTGTCGACGACTTTCATGGCGTAAAGGCACGAGGAAGACGAAGACTCTGTATCCTGATCGGCCGGACTTGAAGAGTCCCTGCTTCTCAGTGTGCAGAGGTAGACGGTGCCGATGTCGCCGGCGCCGATGCGTCGGTGGCGATGGAAGTCGCGGAAAGTGAGGGCTGTTTTTTTGGAGCGAATGGCAGAGTAGGCGAAGTCGGAGGAGCGGTGAGGCTTGAGGCTTAGTGTCTCGGCCGCAAGGTCGGAGGCGGTGGTGGTGGCGGCGGCGGCGTCGAACGAGAGGCGGCTGAAGCTGCTGCAGCTTTCGCTGCTCATTGAACTGTGACTCGAGTTTACTGCTTCACCGTCCGAATCACGCTCTAACATCTTAGAAATTAAACGTCTTTATGGACACCCAATCCGAATTTCCTCGAGAAAGAATCAATAAGCGGAGGGCTTTTTATATAAATTTTGTGGAGGAATCGAAGGAACAGTTTTCGGCGAATCGGATACGAAGAAGAAAACAGAAGATTCCTGGGGAATTTGTGACGTGCGGAAAGGCGATTTTAAATTTTAAAACAAAGAACTTGGAGCAGGGTTTGTGTTTGTGGTTGGGTCAAAGCTTGTGGCTTGAAGGTTCAAGTGGAGCAGTGACGCCATTAATGGAGCTCCGTACGATTGCAGAAAGCAAGTGCCTTGAATGGGAGGTTTAAACGCAGCAGCAGGCTTTTTCAGGTAGATCTCAGAAGTAGGGTTTATCTCAAAAAGTATGAAACCTAGAGAGAGAAACAAAGGAGGGAGGGAGAGAGAGAGAGAGGTTTTGGTTTGAGGAGCTGGAATGCTCAACGCACTGCGTTTTGAGTTCTGAGAGGAGTTGGAAGGTAGTTGGGTATTTATGCTGGGAAGTAATGTAAGAACGCGGTAAAGCGGTAACTTTTTGGGGTGTGGTTATATTATGGAGTGAGGATCGGGAATTGTCAATTTTTTCCGTTCATCGTACATCGTACGATTAGAAGTTATTCTAAATATTTTAATTTAAAATTACATATAAATAGTACATATAAAAACTAATCGCATAATACACGATAAATAGATACGATTCATTGATCTCTATAATTCTCATGAAAAGAATCTAGAAAGGATCCTGTTAGAATAATATGCGGTTGGGCACGTGTGGGAATGGTGGTCTTTTCTGTTCTGCGCGTGGCGCTGGAAACTTACCGCGAGTGCGGTTTCACTGCCGGGAAGGCGTTGAGGAAAATGTCGAAAGTGCCCCTGTTGGGGACTGTTACGGTCAATTATTCTTATCGTTGATCTGCGTGTGAGATGAGTGTTCAGAACTTTCAGGGGTGAAGATGATAGATACGAATTGGGAACTTTATTCAGAAGAAAAATTAGATTTCAAAGATAGTAAGTTGGTAACTTACAAGTAGAGGTCAAATCAATCTATTGGGTTGTTAATAGGTACCCGTTATGATTAATTTAGTTTAATTACACATTTCACCATCATAATCACTATTAATTTCATCTCGATATTACAGTGATATCATGTTAAACGGATACTCACTAACAATTTAATGAGTTAATTTGTCACCTCTATTGGCAAGTCGTTTATTTAGTATAATTAAAATGATTTCATGTTTCAAACCTAAGGTGTGCACAAGTTCTTTTGTTGTATGACATATATCGCATATCCAACTATAAATATCGATTTTTTTTCTTTTTTTCTTCAATTGGTCATACCTGATTCGTAGTTGGTAGCGACTTGAAGAAAGAGTTTGGAATAGTCTATTTTATATGGTAAGTCGCGAGTTTTAAGGGGCTGGATGGGCCAAGTACAACCTCTAAAAACATGCCGATAATCGATTTTTTAGTAGCAACTGTCATTCCTGACCTGTTGTCGTCAACTGTCCGCTTTCTTGAATGAAGAGAAAATTGCGAACGCATCCCATATATCGGTTAAAATTGTTGCCTTATATTATGTTAAAACTTTCCTAGTTGCATTTGCCTATAAACACAGTTGAAAGCTTATCAACACCTCTAACGTCGAAAAATTGACAAGGTACATAATATCGCACACACAGTCGAGCAATCCACATTTACCAAAACAAATGCAAATCATTTGAAAGAAAATGTTTGCATAACTACATTATATGAACACGAAACAATTTATAAACATGTAGAGTTGATATCGTCAAGGCATTTGACAAATATAATTAAATAGATTGAGTTAGAACTAGATCGTTATTGAAGTCGAATTCAAACAAAAAACACAATTGAACACGACGCAACATGAATGCTACGCCCTACCGAAAACAATGGAGGGGTAGGAGTTGATATCATCAAGGCATTTGACAAATATAATTAAATAGATCGAGTTAAAGCTAGATCGTTATTGAAGTTGAATCCAAACAAAAAACACGATTGAGCACGACGCAACGTGAATACTACCACCTACCGAAAACAATGGAGGGGTAGGAGTTGCACAGGAGTTCTTGTACGGAGCGGGCCAATAAGTTACCAACTTGATGAAGGTGGTGATGATCACCCCTTTAAACCTGTCGAGTTTTTTGTTTGAATTCCAAGCCACACCATGTATTGGTATCTAAGATTCTGAAGAAAACGTGTATCGTTCTTCAGCCTAGCGTTTTCAGCTGCCAATCCATTATCTTGATTTCAAGGGATTTGAATTTTTATGCTCTTAAAAGTGTTGATGCCCCACTGTGCCGCGTGGTTTGTTTTGGTTCGCTTTTTTTCTCTTTCACAAAAATAATTTGCATGGATGGGGGTCATCACTACCTGATCCAATAACATTATGCATTGTGAAAAAAAAAACAAAAACTTACACATAATATAACGTTATTGGATCAGGATGTCACAGTGCCGATAAACTCGTTTGAGATAAATACGTCTTTTCTTTCGTTATCATCATATATATGTATAGGGTTAGGATCCAAAGACATACGTTTTTTACACACGTTTTTGTAAGGCCTACTTCATAACGTATTTCAACGATCTAACTGTCTATCGTTTATGTCTTACCTCAAATATCATGTCTACTAAAAATTTCCCAAATCCAAAAATATGACCGTTAGATTAAATTTAGTGTTTCTTTATAGATCATATTCGTCCATTTTTCTCACTACAAATAAATATGTTAATAGTTTTGAATTTACCTAATTTTTTCTAAAAATAATTTGTGAATAAAGTACTAAAATATAGATGATTTATATCATTGAAGTACATTACTAAATAGTTCCAACAAAATAGGCGTAAAAAACGGAGTAGGATTCTTTCCCATATTTTTTTCCCTCCCCTCCTATTTAAACGGTCATAGTTAAGTCACGTTAACATTTTATATTAATTTTTTTAGTAAGAGAAAGACAAAATAAGAGAATGTGAGATAAAATGATGAAAAAAAATGGAAAAAAGAAAGGAGAAAATCCTAGTCCGTAAAAAGCGTGGATATGCTAGAATTGAAAACTAATAATGATAGCAGTAAAATACAATGAGGGTTGAGAAAAACGAACAATAATTGAGTCTTCGATGAGAAGTGACTCTTAAAAGTATTTAACTACTCCTTGGCTGCATCCTGCAGATGTCGACTGCGGTAGAAATTTCAAAGGCTTCTATTTTCTACTGTTGATTTGAGAGTCTGAATTCTTGGATCATATTTCATTCAAAAGGTTAACTGTCGTTGATCAATTAAGCATTTCAAACCAAGTGTCAAATAGCGTCCAAGGCTAAATGATTGCGTGTCGATACTATGAGACGCCCTATAATCTGATTCATCAAATGATGTCGTAGTATTTGATTGACTAGAATTTGGATTCGAGCATATGTTGGCGTGAATCAATTGAATGATGTTAGTATGTAATTAGGATTCCTTAATTTACTACGATTCTTTAATTGTCTTTTGTACTACAAGTGTAGTCTTGTATGTATATACATTACCTCCAAGGGAAGAATACAACAACAAATCAAACCCTAAATTTTAAACATGGTCAAAATGATTTGACAAAAATTAAGAGTATTTTGTCATTTTTGTTTTTGTTTAATGGCGATTTTTTACGGAATGACCAAATGATTGACTGTGGATGGACACTAGTTCTATCGATTTTAAATCTCAATGACCAAAGAGATGAATTATACCAATCTTAGACTTTGGCTCAAAAGCCTATATGTTGAATCGTGATTAATTTGACAGTGAAGTATCAAACCTTAGCACATCATCTACGACTCAAATTTGGAATACAGTTTTGGTATCTCTATTGTTGGATTATTGTTGTTATATATTTCGTAATCCAAAAGATATATTATATTCTACACGACAAGTGACTTTGCTGAATTTGATTAATATTCATAGGATCCCTCTCTTTTTTGTTTCTTTTTTACACAAGTGATACCCGGAAGTGATAGATTTGAACATAAGATCTTAGATTCATGAGTGAACTCTCTTAACCGTTAAGAATGCCTAAGTTAAATAGTAGAATATATAAGAGGACATAATTAATCTGTAGAAAAATAAATAAACAAGAATTTAAAAGTAAAACTGATATATCAAAAATATGACAAAAATTTAGACGGTTAAAACTTGAAAAGATGGCAGTGATTCATTGCAGTTGAAGATGCTCATTTACACTGGCACCATTCTCTGCTCCTGCGCTCGCGCGCGTGCGCCCACACACACACATATATATATATATAGGAATTGCTTAAGGGGAGTGATCCCCATTTTTTCAAAAGAATGGGGACACGTTCCCCACCGTTGGATTTGAATTAAATGAAATCCTGTGGTTGAGATTCTATGACCTGTGTTTAAATCTCAACCACACAATTTCATTAAAGTCAATCTAACGGTGGGGAGCGTGTCCCCATTTTTTTTTTAAAAATGGGGATCCCTCCCCTTAAGCTCCCTGTATATATATATATCCCCCATTCCGGTTAAGTCTATCTCGATGATATGATTGTAGCGGACTGCATGTATGTGCACACACACACACACACACACACACACACACACACACACACACACATATATATATATATATATATATATATATATATATATATCCCCCATTCCGGTTAAGTCTATCTCGATGATATGATTGTAGCGGACTGCATGTATGTGCACACACACACACACACATATATATATATATCCCCCATTCCGGTTAAGTCTATCTCGATGATATGATTGTAGCGGACTGCATGTATGTTGGGTGTAGTTAGCCAATTCCATGTGCGCCTTCAAATGTCTTGAATTTGATAAGGAGGTTGAAGTAAACTAACCGGTAAGGAGACAGATTAGATCGATACTAAAATTCCACATGGCCTAAAGAGAGCTGGGTTTGCAACTGTTTAAGGACAGATTTTTCAGTATGGGA